TAAATCTAGAGTAGAGCTAAATTTAAGAGTATTATATAATTTTTCAGCCATAATATGGCTATATCATTTTGTTAGGGGTTTTTTTTTTCTCTTTTGTTTTTTCTTTTTCGAAATGTTTTTCTTTTTTCCTTTTTGGTGTTTTTTGGGTTTTTTGTTGGTTGCTTTCATTTTGTTTACTTTTTAAAACTTCTTCCTTTTATCTCATGCCCTTTGAGAAGAAGGAAGAATTAGAAAGGAAAGAAAAGATCCTGACATGATATACAACAACCTGTCATAACTCTTGGGGAGTAACCTCGTTGTTACGAAATTCGAAGCAAGTTTTGAATTCTGGGGGTGACTAATAGTTGTTATAGCTGGTCGCGTTGGGCTTAGGCTTGATGAGCTTTTATTAGATAAGAATATATAGTCTCATTGATATATTACAGCATTATGTAGCAGTTTCACTAAATTTGAATAAAAGCAGGATCGCTTAAAAAAAAAAATAAAAATAAGTTAACTGCTTTACGTTGCACTAATGCAATTTATCTGCAATAAAATTTATAGTAATTTTTTAACAATATTATAATAATTTAATTAAAGTTACTTGTATATTTTCTATGCAATTTAGTCTTCATATTTGATATACTGTAAATTTCATTAAATCGCTCTTATTCAAATTAAGTTGTATTAGCTATTTGTTTCACAATTGTAAGTTAAAATAGTATAAATTTACTTTTATATGATTCAATTTAACCCTTTACATATTTATTATTATTTAAAATTATGATTACATAAAAATCTAGAATGTATTTTATAACAATAGAATATTTTACAGTACGTATGCATAATTTTTTTATTTACTATAATTAGTGATTAATTGTTCTTACGCAGATTAATTATTTACATATTCTAAATATAGTAATATAAAGTCTAAAAGTATAATAGTTTGATAGGGCTAATATATTAATAGTAATCGGATTATTTCGCATTGTTTAAACTAACCCAAATTTATTTTAAATCTAAATTGACTTTCTAAGTAATTAGTATAATTCGCATTGTTTAAGCTAATCCAAATTTATTTAAATCGATTAATTTTTGCTTTTATGGAAATCATCTTACATTACTATGTTTAAGCTAATCCTACATTTAAAAAAGTTGGTTAATTTGCATTGTTTAAGCTAATCCAAATTTATTTTAAAATGATCTAATTTTTGCTTTTATGGTAATCAGATTAAATCACATTGTTTAAACTAATTCTAATTTATTTTAATGCTATCGGGAGTTATTAAGATCAGTTATAGAGCACAATGGCAATTAAAATTACAATAAATCAATATATGCCAAATGTATTTAATATAATAAATTTGATATAATTTAATAAAGAAAAAATATTTTACCTTTAATAATGAATGTAAAATAATAAACTAATTACATTAGATAAATCGTATATGTTTAAAAATAATCAAAGTTAATAAAATTTAATATCTTTTTGCCGCATTGTGAGTTAATTCGATTACATTAGAATAAAATCAAAAAAGATTTAAATAAACCCCACCTTAGCTTTTATCCTCTTCATAATTTTTCAGTCAAATTCATATTCATTATATATATCTTACTTACTACTCTTTAATTTTTTCATTAAATCCAAGACTATCTAATAATTAATTTATTTCATTTTCACTTCTTTGCCTTTTTATAAGATTTCATCTTCATTTTATATCATTCTCTCTATCTCCCTTATATAATCATTTATTTCGCTTTATTTCGAATTTATCTTATTTTATTTTTTATTTTTTATTTTATTTTTTATTTTATATTCTTTATTATTTTTATATATTATATACAAAATGCCGGCTGATAGAAAAGGCAAATTAGCACAAGTAGCTGGTAAAAGAGAGCAAGAATTTTTAGCAATAATAGCTTATGAAACAGTAATTTAAACTGATACTGAGCAGGTTGCTGCACAACTACGTGAATCATTTGGCTCTACATCTACTAATATTCAACATACTTCTGATGGTTAAAATTTATTATTTAATTTAGTTTATTTCATTAATTTC